TGCATGCCTTACACTCACACAGTAAAGTTTGTCAATTATGTCTCAATAAAACTGGGGAGAGGGGGGCACCTGGGTGGCTCAGTGGGTTAATAAGCCTCTGCCTTCAGCTCAGGTCATGATCTCAGGGTCCTGGGATCGAGTCCCGCATCGGGCTCTCTGCTCAGCGGAGAACCTGCTTCCTCCTCTATCTCTCTCTCTGCCTGCCTCTCTGCCTACTTGTGATCTCTCTCTGTGAAATAAATAAATAAAATCTTTAAAAAAAAAAAAATTGGGGAGAGGAATCTAAGCAAATTCATCTTGAAGAAAGGCAACATATAAAAATATGTTACTGAATCTGGGGCGCCTGGGTGGCTCAGTGGGTTGAGCCGCTGCCTTTGGCTCGGGTCATGATCTCAGGGTCCTGGGATCGAGTCCCGCATTGGGCTCTCTGCTCAGCAGGGAGCCTGCTTCCCTTCCTCTCTCTCTGCCTGCCTCTCTGCCTACTTGTGATCTCTCTCTGTCAAATAAATAAATAAAATCTTAAAAAAAAATATGTTACTGAATCATTTGAGTTCATGAAAGGCTGGATAATTCATTATTTTAAGGTTATATAAAATACATAAAGCTTCAGTACTCATGATATTCCTTTACTGTTCTAATTCCTCAGTTCCACATCTTTTTTTCTCTTTTCTTTTTTTTTGGTTCAAGACTTGTGGTGTATCTGTTATTAATGGTAAATTTTCATATCATTGTATGGCACTACAGTGACTCACTCAGTCCTTTTAAGTGGAAAAGGGAACAAGTAAAAAGAAGCATGGATATTTGAATTTTGTCAGAAGTACTAAAGAAAAACTTGTGCAAATTTAGAAAGACACACATGAAATATCACGCAAATATTATCATGGGATGGGATTGTGATGCTGTGGTTCAGGTAGCTGACAGTTACTGCAGTGTCCATAGTGTTCACTGGAGGTGGAATTTTTTTTTTTAAAGATTTTATTTATTTATTTGACAGACAGAGATCACAGGCAGGCAGAGAGGCAGGCAGAGAGAGGAAGGCAGACAGGCTCCCTGCTGAGCAGAGAGCTGATGTGGGGCTCGATCCCAGGACCCTGGGATCATGACCCAAGCCGAAGGCAGAGGCTTTAACCCGCTGAGCCACCCAGGCGCCCCTGGAGGTGGAATTTTTAAGAGCCTTCTGACCCTGGTGAACTGGAAGGGCTAATCTGAGAAAGAGATGGTGTGAACCAGGCCTTTTATAGGCTGGAGATAGGGTTTTGTTAAGTGGTTGCTGACTGAATGCATGACTTGGGCTGTTGGGTAAAGAAATGGGAGCTTTGCTTTTTTCCCCTGGAGAAAGCAATGAAGTAAACACACTGTGCCTGTACCCCTAAAAACTGGACTGAAGTATTGGTGACAGCAGGTTCAAGTTGTATGCCGCATAAAGGAGGATCTGGGAAGAGCTGTAGGAAAAGGTTGCTGCACGAAGAAACCTGGAATATCAATAAATGTACTGTTGGATTTTATTTGAAGGGATAGAGAATAAAGGACTAATATGAAAAAAATTATTCACTCATTATTTATTCATCAAATACATGTTGTTTAGGCACCCTGCTAAGCCTTGCAGTACATGAACAAGAGACCCAGTCCCTGCCTTCAGGGAGATTACATTTTCAAGTATATAATGTGTGATGAGTGCTGTAGTGGAACAGAAATGTGCAGGAACTTGCGAGCATGATGGGCCCCTTGCCCAATGAAAATTACCCATTTTTTGGATCCAGTTTTCCTCATCTTCAATTCCATTCTTCCTCCTAATTATCATGTTTAAAAGTAATGATTTTCAGAAGTTAAAATCCTAAAGGGTTATCTAGTTTCTTGCTACTTAGAGGGTGGTCCATGGAATATTGACATAGCATCAGTTGGAGCTTCCTAGAAAATGCAGAATCTTCCTAAAAATGGGCTTCACTCCAGACCTACTGAGTCAGAACCTGCATTTTGACTATACCCCTCTCCCCTGTGATTCCTTTTCTCGTGCAAGTTGGAGAAACACTAACTCATTCCCCTTCTCTTGAGCAGGTTTTACAGGTAAAGGGATCTAAGACAGATTGTGCCCTTTAAGCCCTATGTGCAATAGCAGAGCTGATAGTAAAACTCAGGCCATCTGTTTACTCATGGAGTCTAGAATGCCTTTTCTAATATCTCTGTTATTTCTTATCTACTTCCCTCTACCTTTTTATTCTTCTGTTGGCCTCTGTTAGTGTTTCACATTGTCAGATCTTCAGCTTCTTACTCATCTCTCTTCCTCTCACTGTCTTTCTTAGTTCTCTCTCTAAACTTCTCTGTTGAAGGAGAGAATGGCATGGGTTAACCACACTATACATCAAAAAGAATGAGCATTTTTATTTATTCTTGATTTTGGGAAAATTTTTGGACCTGTTTCTCTCAATTTTTTTCTACTTGTTCAGAACTTACTTTGAAGTCAGCAGGAATCCTGTGTGTGATTAAGAGTGATAGAATTGGGGCACCTGGGTGGGCAGCTCAGTGGGTTGGGCAGTCAACTCTTGATTTTGGCTCAGGTCATGATCACAAGGTCCTGGGATCGAGCCCCTCGTTGGACTCTGTGCTCAGTGGGGCATCTGCTTGAGGATTCTCTCTCTGCCTCTTACCCCACTCATGCACGTGCTCTCTCCTTTCTCTCTAAAATAAATAAATTTTTAAAAAAGATTTTATTTTTTTATTGGACAAAGAGAGACAAAGTAAGAGAGGGAACACAAGCAGGGGGAGTGGGAGAGGAAGAAGCAGGCTTCCTGCCAAGCAGGGAGCCTGATGCCAGGCTCAATCCCAGGACTCTGGGATCATGACCTGAGCCAAAGGCAGACGCTTAATGACTAAGCCACCCAGGTGCCCCTAAATAAATCTTTTCTTTTAAAAAAAGTGTGATCTAATCCGTGATATTAGAAATTAGAATCTCTTTACCGTTAAATTTGTATTCCTTTCTTTGTTACATGGGATTATCCTATAACAGATTCCTTTGCTCTTTGTATCAAAGAGCATGGAAAAAACAGTGTCTACCCTCTAGTTTCTGGATAGGAATAAGAAGCCACAGCTACTCCTTCTCTAGTTCCTGAAGTAAATAGAGCAGGCCTTTAGGATTTAGGAGTTTGTCTTAAGTATTTTTCCTATAGAATATAAATATGTAAGTAGATAAATACTCCATGTTTTAAGGGAGGCTTTGTCATAGAGAGGTACATAGCAGGATAATATGATAATGAAGAAAAGCAAACAATCAGTAGTAAGACCATAGTGATACAATGCTTTCAATAGAAGTCAGCCACTCATCTTTTAAGCCACACCCTCTCATAAGAGGATTATTCTCTCTTGTCTTGTGTTTTCATTTATTTTATTATTTTTTTAAGATTTTATTTATTTATTTGACAGACAGAGATCACAAGTAGGCCAAGAGGCAGGCAGAAAGAGAGGAGGAAAGCAGGCTTCCTGCTGAGCAGAGAGCCTGATGTGGGGCTCGATCCCAGGACTCTGAGATCATGACCTGAGCCGAAGGCAGAGGCTTTAACCACTGAGCCACCCAGGTGCCCCTTCATTTATTTTTAATTCTGGAATATGTTTTGATTTGAGTAACAGAACCATAATTTACATAAATATAGATAGTAAGCCTCTCCTGTAAACTCTAAAATAAAATTAGTTTTTGTTTTTCTTGTTTTCATATGTGTTCTTCTTTCAAGTCACTAGCACATCTTTCTAACAACTCTTATTTCATAGAAACCATAGTTATGTCACTTCTTATTTCCTTCCACATTGTTCCATTTGTTTCCTTCCCTTTGTTTTATTTTCTATCAGTAGTATATAGAAACAGACTAATTTTAAGTAAGATATTTTGAAACCTGGTTATCTAATCCAGAGCTATTTTGCATATATAGTTTTAGTAAAACTGACAGTTTAGATGTTGGGACATTATAATGAGCAATTTCGTTTAATTCATTTAGGCTAGCTAGGTCTTAGGAACTAACTGAAAGGTAGGATCTTTTGTTGTTGCTGTTTTAAAAATACGTTCTTTTCCTCAGCATAGAACATAGAAATGTTTTTGTATTACTAAGCATAAACTAGATATTAGATTCGCAACCTATAAAATGCTGTTTAGGTTTTAGAAATATAAATTTTAGTATCTTTTTATAATGTATTAGAAAATAAATTTTTGTTAGCCGTATATTTCATTACCGCTTTTTTCTTAGAAATGTTATTTGTGGCAGAACTCTAATTGTAAAATTTATTCAGGGTTGCATATTTGAATATTAGGGACAGTTGACTCATTTTAAATGAAATATTTACACATATGTGATGTAAATGCTTATAGCTTTAAAGAAAAGCACATAAGTTGGTTATATTCATAGCAAAATAGGCTCATGCTGTCAAAGAAAAAGGAAAATGTCTTGAATATGGTGATTTCCATGTAAAGAAATCATAGAACTGTAATCCCCCTAATTTTTTCCTCCAAATATAACTCTACTCTTGTCCTCAGTATCCAAAAAATATTCCAGGGAATAGCTTCTATTGCTCTACCTCTTCAGTTTACTATTCTTTTCCTGCTTTTGGCAAGGAGGACACAGCTTCCAAATTGTACTGATATATTTCACGTGTTTAATATGAAAAGACAAGTTTCTCCTTACAGTATTTATTTTCTGTGTATGAAGTCTTTGATCAACTCTTCATGCCCAGCTTGTCCTATATTTCTAGCAGGTTTTATTTCTGGGCTTTGTTTTCTAGGTCTCTATAAAACTTAATGTGTGCTATATGTAATAAAACATTATTTTCAAAAGCTACTCACAAGAATTGGTCTCACTCTTTAGTTTAAATGCCATGTATTTTTGTTGTGACTCAAGGAAAACTGACCTGCATTTGGTCAAATTAGGAAAAAAGCTAAGTTGAAGTATTGTAATTCCTAACAAGTTCATTCCAAACAAATTTATTGTTTAATGAATTTAATGTTATTTTGTTCTCTCTAGATAAACGTGTGGAGAATTGGCCTCTGATGCAGTCTCCATTGCCTACACTTTGTATAAGTACTCTTTATCTCCTGTTCGTGTGGCTGGGTCCAAAATGGATGAAGGACCGAGAACCTTTCCAGATGCGTTTAGTGCTCATTATCTATAATTTTGGAATGGTTTTGCTTAACCTTTTTATCTTCAGAGAGGTAGGTTTACTAAAATCACCTTATTATTCCTCAGGGTTATTGAAAAGAAATTAGAATATGTAAAGCCATCATTGTATATTGTATCCCAAGATAACTGTTGGCTACTCTGAAAGTAAATTTCACTTTATTGAAATTTTTCATGTTTGGACAACAAAAATATGAAGCCTATGGAAAGTATAGGACAGTTGTTTAAAATGGAATGTTGAAGCAGACACACTAGATTCCAAAATAACCATTATTAACTGACAGTAGAAGTTATTTAACTTTACTGAGACTTATTTTCCCCATCTGTAAGCTGGGGATAAATAACCTGCCTTCTAGATCAGAGATAAGTGAAGTGATTTTTTTCATAGTGTTTGGCACATATTAAGTCTCTGGTAAATAGTTGTAGCTCTTTTTCATAATTCTTATTCAACAGTTTCAGCTTTGGTAACTGATCAAAGTTTGCAGATGTAAAATACTGATTTTGAGTTAAATCCTACTACATAATGTCATTGTATTTTAACAAAAATGAGTTCACTGTTATACACTGTTGCTGCTAATCATCTTGTTCTTTTCTGGAATCCAGCAAATTCTCTATGACATTCTGAAAAGAAATCCTAAAGATTAGATTGACATAGACATTTTTTAAGTTGTAAGAGTGGAAGGAATTTGTTTCCCAAGTGGAAGGAAGTTGTTTCCCAAGAGATTCCTCATTAAAATTCTGTATGAACCCAGAGAACTGGACTGGTGATACTAGGAAGATAAACACTACTCTCCTTTAAAGAAATCTGTAACTGACAACTTAGTCTATAGAATCCCAACTTCATAAAAACTTTAATTTATTTGGATACTTTGACCTTGTTTGTTAGATGCAAACCACTCTGGATCAAGAATAGAAATCAATGCAAGTGTTAGATCTGAGTCATGGTTAATCAAAATTTCTCTTAATATTATAAAGTAGATAAGAGTTGAAGTCTCAGTCCAAGAGTTACATGTGATTTTTAATTTAGATTTCAACTTTGGAATAAATTGACACAGCAAATTTGAGACACTCCAACACATTAAATGTTTAATGCATTTCAATTTTTTTAGACAAGATTGCTCTTTAAAATAATTTGAAAGGTTGCATATTATATTTAGTGTTTTATATTCCATATCTACTAAAACTTTATTTTAAATATTATTCCCCTTTTTTCCAGTTATTCATGGGATCATATAATGCAGGATACAGCTATATTTGCCAGAGTGTGGATTATTCTGATAATGTTAATGAAGTTAGGGTAAGTACATTCAAGATACCATTAATTAATAGAAATGGGTTTAATTTTATAATCCCCAGTCTGAAAAACATGCTTCTGTAAAATGGTGTAAAAGTGTATAAGATTGTGTTGAGTCAGGAAAACTATGCTTCTCTTTAAAAGTACATAATTAAAAATGTTTTCATAGCTATAGTGTCCTATATGATTGTGTGAGAGTGAGTATGTGTTGGATTACTAGAATGCAGTACTTAAAAAAGTTCATGTTTAATGTAAAGATGATATTTTTGATTTTTGTGTTTTGGGTCAAGAATAGAAACTCATAAAGAGAGTCTAATTCACTTGTTAAGAGTCTGAGGATAAACAAATGTTCTATAAACTATGTAATGTGTAGTAAGTTAAGCATAGCACTATACGTACAGGTATAAACTCAGTTTTTATTATGTTTGCAGAAAAATAAACTAGGTAATATAATGTTGTATTTTACTTTCTAGTCACCCTTGACATACAAAGATTTATAAATAGATTTCAGTTATATACTGTCTTCTTTGTTGTTTGTACATAGAACATACATCATAAAAGTACTTAACATAAAAAATGTTGAGTTTAGGTTACTTTTATAATAGGCTTCTTGTAAAATATTTTAAAACATTTATTGAGGTCACCTCTCACGGGATCCTTGGATCCTTAATCTCTCAGCATTGTAACATAATCTTTCTGTACCATCTGGTGTCTTAATTAGAGCCCAGGAAAAGAAAAGACTTATTCATGTAAGTAGGATTATATTTATGACCTAGGAAATATTTGTTATTGTTTGTGTGTGTGTTTTAATTTACCACTTTAAGGATTTTACCGCCTAATACAAAGTACTGTGATGAGGTATTTACTTTATTGCACGTGTTAAAGTGAGAGACAGAAGCCAACAGAGGCCAGTTGCTACACAAACATGCTTGCAAGAATATCTGAGATAGAATGTAGGCTAAGCACGAACAACTGAAATACCTTTACAAAGTAAATATCTAGGTTTTTCTGCCATGCTGAAAAACAGCAGTGTGAAGGTGTTTATAGCTCTACGTTCAGAAGTTTTGTACTTCATGACATCTAGCTATGTAAAAGACTAAACATTTTCTCTAAATCATTGCCACTTGGGATTTGGGACTCCTTCTTTCCCATTTTCCCCCCATGGATAGATGCCTCGGTTTCACACCCACTTAGGCAAAAATGATTCTGTGCCTTCTACATTTTGTGCAATAAAGACTGCTTAGACTAACTTAACAGTAAATAGAAAACCATATGATAGTGTCACTCTGCTTTTCCTTTCTTTTTACAGATAGCTGCTGCTCTGTGGTGGTACTTTGTATCTAAAGGGGTTGAGTATTTGGACACGGTGTTTTTTATCCTGAGGAAGAAAAACAACCAAGTCTCTTTCCTTCATGTATACCATCACTGTACAATGTTTACATTGTGGTGGATTGGAATTAAGTGGGTCGCAGGGGGACAAGGTGAGCATTTTGGGACATATCTGCATACATTATGTATATATGTTGAGTGGAAAAGTAATGAGAAGTTGGAAATTTGACTTGGTCTTTAACTTGCTTTCTTGAGTAATTGTTTCTCTGTTATATTCCATTTTTTCTTTTTTGTTTGTTTATTTGTTTGATGAGAAGTAATTTATTTAAAGCTATATAGTAATCCAGTGGCAAATCTGGAAATGTGTCCTCTAGATACCAGACAATGTAGAATTTTCTTCTGAAGCAAAATAATCTCAAAAAAGATCATTAGGATCACTAAATAAGTATGGTCATGATTAATTCTGTCTGATAATTGCATAGATGCAACGAGAATGTACATTTAACACAGAGTTTTCTATCGTTTTGCCTAAAATTTTATAAGAAATCTGACTAAATTTTTTAAAATTTTATTTTCTTTTTTCCTAGCTTTTTAAAAAAAATTTATTTTTTTTAAATTTCCTTTTAGTGTACCAGAATTCATTGTTTATACAACATACCCAGTGCTCCATGCAATATGTGCCCTCCATAATACCCACCACCAGGCTCACCCAGCCTCCCATACTCTTCCTCTCCAAAACCCTCAGATTGTTTCTCAGAGTCCACAGTCTCTCATGGTTCGTCTCCCCCTCCAATTTTCCCCAGCTTACTTCTCCTCTCCATCTCCCATGTCCTCCATGTTATTCCTAATGCTCCACAAATAAGCGAAACCATATAATAACTGACTCTCTTTGCTTGACTTATTTCACTCAGCATAATCTCTTCCAGTCCCATCCATGTTGATAAAAAAGTTGGGTATTCATCCTTTCTGATGGAGGTATAATACTCCATAGTATATATGGACCACATCTTCCTTATCCATTCGTCCATTGAAGGGCATCTTCGTTCTTTCCACAGTTTGGCGATTGTGGCTATTGCTGCTATGAACATTGGGGTTAATTTCATTTTAAAGAAATATGAAGAAGAAAAACAAATTTGAAGAAAGTAAAGTTTTGGCTTTTTATCTGTGGGTACTTAAATACCAAAAGATTTTCCTCAGAGATAAGCATAAACTAAGCTTAAATGTAGCAAATAATATTTTGATGTGGAGCAGTTGTAGTAGTTTTGAGTCAAAGGATACTGAGCTAGGGGCACCTGGGTGACTCAGTCTGTTAAGCTGACTCTTGGTTAGCTCAGGTGTTGATCTTATGGTCGTGAGTTCAGGTCCCGCATTGGATTCCAAACTGGGCGTGGAGCCTACTTAAAAAAAAGAGAAAGAGTGACAAAGGATACTAAACTTTAACTTCTCAGTTTGAAGCCTCCATCACCAGTCCAAGCCCAGAGCCCACTCTTGCTCTAAAATGGGCCTTAAATGAACCTATTGGTTCTTACTCAAAGGAAACTATAAATAGCTTTGTGAAAGAGGATCTGAATTCACAGTTTGGTCAAGATAAGTCTGCAGCTTTTCAGATGCCTGAATTGAAGATGATTTATGTGATTGAGCTGGAAACAGATTATTTCTCTATTGTGGACCCAGGGTACAGGTCATTATAGTAGTACAGTTTACCTTCTACTCTTAGAAGTTTAAAACTGTTTAGAGACCTAAGAAATAAATAATATTTTGTTGTTGATATGTTTATGTTGATATATGTATGTTGATAAGTTGATATGCCCTCTGAAGGCAATAATGAGGCTTTAAAAATCCATTTCTTTAAAAGGTCCTTTTTACTTTATTATTATTTTTGTAAGTAATCTCTATACCCCACGTGGGGCTTGAATTTATGACCCACACCAAGATCAAGAGTCCCATGCTCTTCCAACTGAGCCAGCCCCTTGCCCCATTAAATATCTATTTAAACAATTATATGTACCATGATTTTTTTCCCTAAGAATAATAGCATGAAAAATAATACAAGACAATAGTTCTGTATTATGACATGCTTAAATCACTGGGGTACTCCATTTGGAAACTTGCCACTGTGAATATCCTTTGCATTTGAAGAACACTCATTTTTAGTTATATGCTAAAAGCCTGAGTCTAAACTGTAAAAGTACCTAACTTGATCTGAGGAGAAGTCTTTTCCATTATTCCTACTTTACAATTTTTTTTTTAAAGATTTTATTTGTTTATTTGACAGAGAGAGATCACAAGTAGACAGAGAGGCAGGCAGAGAGAGAGAGAGAGAGAGAGAGAGAGA